TTTCTGCTTTTTTGAAAATAAAAAAATGCATCCTTTATGGAAATAAAATTCCTCCACAAGGCCCGAGGTGTCCTATGAAATTTAAATAAATGAAAAAACATTTTTACTCCAGATTTTGGCCTTGTGCCCAGGCTTAATGGCCTTGTGCCCTAGAAAAAATATGAATAGCCAAGGCCAAAGTGGCTGTGCCCTCCTAAATCCTTATGTCTAGCCCTGCACCAGCCCATCCACATCTACGGTGTCAAGGTTGAAAGGGTCAGCAGCTTCCGATTCCTCGGAGTTAACATCACCGAAGATCTCACCTGGACCCTTCACACATACACTGTAATCAAGAAAGCTCGCCAGAGGCTCTACTTCCTGGAGAGACTGAGGAAGTTCGGCGTGAACACCAACATCACCTCAATTTTCTACAGGAGTGCGATCGAGAGCTTGCTGACAGACTGTATTACAGTCTGGTAAGGGAGTTGCTCTGCCAGCGGCCGGAAATCACTACAGAGAGTGGTGAAGGCAGCAGAGTACATCACAGGCATCAGTCTCCCTGCAATTCAGGACATTTATCTCCAGCGGTGCCTCCGTAAAACACACAGCATCATCAAGGACCACAGCCATCCAGCACGACAGCTGTTCTCCTTGTTATCGTCCGGCAGACGATACAGGAGTCTGTCTGCTTGGACTACAAGACTAAAAAATAGTTTTTATCATCAAGCCATTCGACACCTCAACTACAACACTTGAACACACACGTCACACTTCATTGGATGCATTTGCGATCAGTTCCCATAAAATATTGTCTCAGGTACACCTTGCATTTTATCTTTATTTTTATCTTTATTACTATAAAAATAAAAGTAAAAAACTCTTACTATGTGCAATACTGGTACTTGACTGCCACCTTAAATCATCGACAATTGCACTGCTGCCCACTCTTGTCACTTTATTTCATGTGTGAGAACGTTGTCTTACTTCTCTGTAATATATTGCTGAGAGACTTGTTTATTCTCGTCAATCACATTTCATTGCAATGTTGACCCTGTGCTAACTTGCATATGACAAATAAACAAAACTGAACTGAACATCCATTGTCATGTAAAACATATTTAGTGCCAGTGACATTATTTATTTGGCCATGAACGTTATAAGTCATTAGCATGACCTGCCTGCACATACTTTGTTTGAACACAACTAGACCATTCTCTTTGTCAATTGATCCTATGTGCCAATTAATTTTCCTTCGCTTATCTGCCGCTACAGGTTTGTGTGTACACGTGATCAGGAGTGTTTATAAACATAAACACATTTCAACATATGGAAAGAAATGGATAAATACCATACTATGTGTGAAGTTGTGCATATATGCAGTTTACGCATATATGCACAACTGTTCATACACATGGTTGATAAATGAGACCAATGATTCTGATTATCATCATTTCACTGGGACCCTCTACTGCAAAAGCAGTCATGAAGGATGGATGGATTGCATTATTCCATATCAGAGAAAAACCTAAAAATACATGGTTAAGAACAGACCGATAACTCTTTGATATTGTCATTATAGTATATGCAGGCCATGTGTCTATGAAATGGGGAGGGGGAAAGGGAACTATGGAACAGAATGGTAGTGCATTTTAGCTTAATAGTACCTTTTCTGCAGAAGCCTGCTGGTCCTCTCTTGTAAATGCAGGATCTCTGGTTCTCCAGCATCACAGTTTGAATCTGACAGACACTGCAGGACAAAGAATATAGTCAGCAGACCTGTCTTAGCTTTGAAATCATTCACCAGACCATATACACCCCAAAGGCAACTTGCTACTTTACAGTGTGTGTGTGTGCGTGTATTTAACTAAATCATTATTATCCATAATTCCAATTAGGCAAAATAGAGGAATTTAAGGGTACTATATAAAGCAGTACTGCTGATGTTGAACACATTCTAAGTCATATGTAAAGAATGGGATTACTTGCTAATTTGGATGCTGGAACAGACTGGATAGATACATTTAAAAAGAACCCCATCCATCCATCCATCCATCCATCGCAGGGTCAGAGGTCTGGAGCTTATCCTGGAAGCTACGGGCACCAGGCAGAAAATAACCCAGTTTGGGGTACCAACCCATCAAAATTGAAAAAAAGAACCATTAAATTGAATTGTGAAGAGGAAAACACTGCATATTATTTTATGTTTGTGTTTTTTTAAAACCAACCATCAAGAACTGACCAGGGCAATAGTCAGCCCACAGAGCTATTTTTTACTGGCACGCATGATCATTAAAATGAAAAGACAGATTTTTCTCACTAATCTTTCTTTGAATTAACAATAGCAATCAATATTCTGTAACCACTTGTCCTGTTCAGGGTTGTGGAGGGTCCTGAGCTCATCCCAGCAGCTATGGGTTCAAGGCAGGAAACAACCCAGGATGGGATCAAAGATATTATATCTCCAGCATACTAACCATGATGGTGTGCTCATGGTCAAGGAGGTGTGGACAAGGAGGACTGAGCTGGCAGGGCTCAGCCGGACCCAGCACAGTTTCTTCATCTAAACACGGACATGGAGACTGGGTGAGACAGATTTACAATTTCTCCATTACAGTGGATTTGTTATTGCTTTTAAAATAATAATAACAACAATAATAACAACAACAATAATAATTTAGAAACAATAAATAAAGAATATTACTTGTGGATCCCACACCCTAGGCTAATGTATCACAAGCAATCTCTATGGATCTCAACATGGTTAGAAAAATGGGTTTCCCATTTTCTTTTCACACAGATTTCTAAAGGGAATGGTCCAATCACAGCTGCCTAGCGAGCGGGGGGCGTCGTCAAGGATATGGACTGAGACAACAGTGGCCTGTACTACGAAGCGGGGTAACTGGCTTATCGGGGTAACTTTGCGAGTAACTTGATGACGTGTGGTGTAACTTTCGATTTACGATTAACCCGTACTACGAAAGGTGGGTAGGTTTTAGTCGAGACATGTTGCTATGGCAATTTACCCTAAGTCTCAAAACTGCTCCGAGCAGTTTTTGTTCTTGTTTAAGTCGAGGTTTCCGCGTAAGCCAG